CCATGTTTGTGTGATGCATCTGTGAATGCACCCTAATCACTTGTGCGTGCGTGTGTGCGTGCATGCGTGTGGAGGGGTGGCGGTGGTGTGTATGATGGCTGCGTGGCTGAATCTATTCCTGCCACCAGGACTTGAGAGAGGGCTCAGGGCCAACCCCCCAACCAGGCGAACTTGCTGTGGTGAGTGCACTTGTGTCGTGATATGTCTGTATTTGCCATTCCGCGGATTGCGGTGGGCAGTGGGCGGATTCAAACCCAAGACCTCTCCCATCCAGGGTTTGTTTTTGGCCCACTAGGTTATTTGGATGAACAAAACAAACAATCAATATTCTGCCATTGCCATTGCCATTGCCATTGCCATCATTGGCGTTATTACTCCCTGCCACGTACGATCCATGCCATACCACATGCCATACCACATGCCATACCACCACATGCCAAACCACTTGCCATACCACATGCCATACCACGTGCCATACCACATGCCATTCCACATGCCATACCACATGCCATACCACGTGCCATACCACTTGCCATACCACATGCCATACCACAGGCCATGCCACATGCCATGCCATACCACATGCCATACCACATGCCATACCATATGCCATACCACATGCCATACCACTTGCCATACCACATGCCATGCCACATGCCATGCCACATGCCATACCACATGCCATACCACATGCCATACCACATGCCATACCACATGCCATGCATCGCACTTGCCTCATGCTACCCTTTCCTGCTGCTCTAGGTGAAGATCCACATTCCATTCGTCCTCTTTAAACGTCCACCCCCCCCAATCGACTTCTGCGCGTGCAGCAAGACCGACTCACTAAGGGTTATTAAAGTCAGAGTCACCACCTGAAACGCCCTCGCTCCCCCCCCCTCCTCTCATCCCCTCTGTTAGTGTGGAAGGGTGCGTTCTTAGTGCGGCAGAGAGCGGCCCCGGCCGCACTTGGAGTGCTCCCTGCTGTCACCGCCAGGTCACCGCCCGCCACCGCCCACAACCGCCCGCCACCGCCTGCCACCGGCCGTCACCGGCCGTCACCGCCCGCCACCGCCCGTCACCAGCCGCATCCGCCCGCCACTGCCCATCACCGCCCGTCACCGGCCGCCATCACCCGCCACCGCCCACCACGTCCGCCACCGCCCACCACCGTTCGCCACCGCCTGCCACCGCCCGCCACCGGCTGTCACAGCCCGCCACCGCCCGCCACAACCCGTCACAGCTCTCCTAATGTGGCAGGGAGCCTCCGCCCTTCTGCCTCACTCCAGTATCCCCGTTCCTCTGTCCCGCACCCCCCCCCATTGTGCCGCCCCCTCCTAGTGGAGTGGGCAGTTGTTTGAAGGGCATAGCCTGGCAGAACTGACAACCGCCCTGCATCTCCCTCCTTCCCTTCCCCCCTCTTTCAAACTCCCCCCACCCCCGGCAGGTGGACTGGGCGGGGTTCACCATCGGGTACTACGGGCGCATCTTCGAGGCACGCAACAAGCCCAAGGGGGGCTCCTTTGAGGTGGGTTGAAAGGGGGAAGGGGGGGGGGTGGGGTGGGGGGGTTCGGGAGGGTACGTTAGAGGCTTGGTAGGGTGTTATTGAGGTGACGTGCTTCCATGGTTTTGTGCAGGCATGCTTGCATGTCGAATGCCATTCACCTGCGGCTTCTGTTGCTCACCCCTCCCCTGTCCCCTTGTCCCCTGTCCCCTGTGTGCTGTGCGTGGTCTGCAGGGCAATGAGAAGGACTTCTTCCGCTTCCACGTGGGCAGAGACGAGGTGCGTGCTGCCACTCGTGCTGCCACTCGTGCTGCCACTCGAGCTGCCACTCGTGCTGCCACTCGTGCTGCCACTCGTGCTGCCACTCGTGCTGCCACTCGAGCTGCCACTCGTGCTGCCACTCGTGCTGCCACTCGTGCTGCCACTCGTGCTGCCACTCGTGCTGCCACTCGTGCTGCCACTCGTGCTGCCACTCGAGCTGCCACTCGTGCTGCCACTCGTGCTGCCACTCGTGCTGCCACTCGTGCTGCCACTCGTGCTGCCACTCGTGCTGCCACTCGTGCTGCCACTCGTGCTGCCACTCGTGCTGCCACTCGTGCTGCCACTCGTGCTGCCACTCGTGCTGCCACTCGTGCTGCCACTCGTGCTGCCACTCGTGCTGCCACTCGTGCTGCCACTCGTGCTGCCACTCGTGCTGCCACTCGTGCTGCCACTCGTGCTGCCACTCGTGCTGCCACTCGTGCTGCCACTCGTGCTGCCACTCGTGCTGCCACTCGTGCTGCCACTCGTGCTGCCACTCGTGCTGCCACTCGTGCTGCCACTCGTGCTGCCACTCGTGCTGCCACTCCTCCCCCTCGCCATCTGTGTTGCCTGCTACCTCTATGGGCATTGGGTCCCCATGTGCACCGCCATCTGCCCGCTTGGGCATGCATGCACTATGCTCACCCCGCCCTGCCCTCTCCTCTCACCTGGTCCGTGCTTCCATCTCTTGCATGTGCCACCCACGAGCTTCTCAAAGCGTCCATCTCTTGCAGCTGTCAGCTCCCCCCCCACCCATGCTTCTCAACCACGCCCCGTGCTACTGCTGGCAGGTCATCCCGGCCTTTGAGGAGGCCGTTGCCTCGATGAAGCTGGGAGGAGTGAGGAGGTGAGAGGGACGATGCGCATCACCCTGTGCTTATTCAGTACCACACACGTACTGGATGCCATGCCCCCCCCCAAAACCCGCAACCCCCCCAAACCCGCACTCCCCCAAAACCGCACCCCCCAAAACCCGCCGCACCCCCCCCCAATCCCGCACCCCCCCAAAACCCACACCCTCCCGACGCCCCCAACCCGCACCCCCCCCAACCCGCGCCCCACCAATACTCGCACCCCCCAAAACCCTCGCCCTCCCAAAAACCCGCTGCCCCCAAAACCCGCGCCCCCCCAAAAAATCCGCCCCCCCCAAAAACCCCGCGCCCCCCCAAAACCTGCGCCCCCCCAAAAACCCGCGCCCCCCCAAAAACCCACGCCCCCCCAAAACCCGCACCCCTCCAAAAACCCACGCCCCCCGCAAAAACCCGCGGCCCCCCAAAAACCCGCGCCCCCCCCCAATACCCGCGCCCCCCAAAAAAACCCGTGCCCCCCCAAAAAACCTGCGGCCCCCCAAAAACCCACCCCCCCCTCCCACCCCCCAAAAAAAAGCCCGCGGCCACCCAAAAACCCGCCCCCCCTCAAAAACCCGCCCCCCCCCAAAAACCCGCAGGCCCCCAAAAATCTGCGCCCCCCCAAAACCTGCGCCCCCCCGAAAACCCGCGCGGCCCCCCAAAAACCTGCGCCCCGCCAAAAACCCGCTCCCCCCCCAAAACCCGCGCCCACCCAAAAACCCGCCCCCCCCAAAAACCCCCGCCCACCCAAGAACCCGCGCCCCCCCGAAGAACCAGCGCCCCCCCCAAGAACCCGCGCCCCCCCGAAAAACCCGCCCTCCCCCCAAAACCCGCGCCCCCCCAAAAACCTGCGCCCCCCCAAAGACCCGTGCCCCCCCAAACCCCCCCCCCCGAAAAACCCGCCCTCCCCCCAAAACTCGCGCCCCCCCAAAAACCCGCGCCCCCCCAAAAACCCGAGCCCCGCCAAAAACCCAAGCCCCCCCAAAAACCCGAGCCCCCCCAAAAACCGGAGCCCCGCCAAAAACTCGCGCCCCCCCAAAAGCCCGCCACCCCCCCAAAACCCGCCCCCCCCCGAAAACCCACGCCCCCCCAAAAAACTGCCCCCCCACCCGCGAAAACCCGCCCCCCCCAAAAAACCCGCATGCCCCCCCAAAAACCCGCATGCCCCCCCAAAAACCCGCGCCCCCCCCAAAACCCCACGACCCCCCCAAAACCCGCGCCCCCTCAAAAACCCGCCCCCTCCCCCCCCAAAAAAACCCGCGGCCCCCCCAAAAGACCGGCGGCCCCCCAAAACCCGCGCCCTGCCAAAAACCCGCGCCCCACCAGAACCCGCGCCCCCCCAGAACCCGCGCCCCCCCAAGAACCCGCGCCTCGCCCAAGGACCCGCGGCCCCTCCAAGAACCCGCGCCCCGCCCAAAACCAGGGCCCTCCCAAAAACCCGCGCCCCGCCTTAAACCCACGCCCCCCCTTAAGCCTGCGCCCCCCCTAAAGCCCACGCCCCCCCAAAAGCCCGCGCCCCCCACAAAATCCCGCGCCCCCCCAAAATCCCGCGCCCCCCCCCAAAATCCGTAAGCACATAGCAGATGTGAAGCACGAAGGGGATGGCATGCATGTGTGGTGCTGGGCATGCCATGGGAGCAGCATGGCTCAACACTGTATGTGCTCGCTGCCTCATGTGCTGCTCCCAATGTGCGTGCACCAGGATCGTGGTGCCTCCTGAGATTGGGTACCCTGATGGCAACTTCAACAAGCAAGGGCCCAAGCCTACTACCTTCTCCGTGAGTCCTCCCTAAGATCATCACTACCAAGTTTACTAAACTTGCGGTAAGTGTTGTTTTTGTCCCCTTTTCTGATTCAGTTGTCCACCTTTTCTTTTTGTGTCTGCTGATTCAGGGCCAGCGAGCACTGGATTTCGTTCTCAAGAACCAGGGTCTTATCGATAAAACCCTCCTTTTTGACATTGAGCTTCTGAAGATCATTCCCAGCTGAGACCATCACGTAGTTGAGTGGATTGGACTCCCTTAGTGAGGACAGCATAATTTTGCCTATTGCACCCCAAGACCGTCAAAGGAAATGCGTTCTCCGAGCTAAATGGATGAGATTTGAACGTGTTGCTCTCACGTTGGGTCCATAAAGAGGGCGTTGTAACTTGGATTTGTGTATAGCTTGGGATGCAAATCTAATCATTTGTATATGGTAAAACCATAAGGCGTTAATATGTCATACCATAGCATCGTTTTTAGAGTTATAAGGCGTACAGCTCTGAACTAAGTAATAGCAGATCGTGGAAGCACCTTATTTGCCCCAACAGCTGGGGAAAGAAAAACAACCGGTAGCGAAGCCCTGCTTGCACTGTCGCTACCCGCCTGCTGTTGGCCATCCACTTTCGGTAGTGATCAGGCCACTCTACAGCGCCGCTTTTGTCGCCATCCGTCCCACAGGGGCCACGCCACAGCACTATGCGCTGCCATCGATGGCGCTTCGCTGCTCAACTGGGCGGTTTACACATACACAGTACCTTGGCTGCACGGGAGTCACAGGCGTGACAGTAACGGAACCCTAGTGAGCTGTACGTACATGTACTGTACCGAAACCGTACGATCCCTGGCGGTAACTCCGAGCTATCCAGGGACAGCTGGCGCGCAAAGGCTTCCTGCCACGCTGTCAGCTTCTCGACGGAGCAGGCAGTGCATGCACGAGCCAGCCGAGGGGAGGGCCTGATGCGGGCTGGGCTGCCCGGACCAATGCAATGCGCCCTCTGCAGTGCACCGGACCATGCGATCGCAAGCGGCCGCGATCCAGGGCGGGTCCAGCGAAGGGTCGCGCCGACAGCATCAGGCGTGTGGCAGCAACGGATATTGGGCGGCCGACGGGGCTCCGCGGGTTCCCCAGCTGGCGCAGTCGCATCCCATCCCGAGCGATGGAGGGAGGGCTGTGGGGGACAGGGCTGCACCCAGCTGAGCTGCCCAGACACCTCGTAGCCTCGCGCGAGCTCACCCCGTCACTGGACCCGTGCTGCTAGTTGGGGATTTAGGCTAGCAGCCCAGCTCCCGAGGCAATGCAGGAGAGATAAGTAGCACAGGTGCCGGGTGTGATCAGCAGTGCAGGGCGACCGCCGCGAGCACGCACCCTTCCCTGTGGCCGTTTTTCTCCCATCTGAACCTTTTTTTTTCTCCAGCACCCAGCGGCTGGCGATGGCAGTGGCGTCCGCCTTTCCCCGCGAGATCAGCCTCACGGGAGACTCTCCCCCGTCCATCCCCGCGCGCCTGCTGCGCCCCTTGCGCCGCCTCTGCTCCCTCCAGGGCGAGCTGTGGCAGGTGGCCGCTGACGCTGACTCCGCACATGATGCTGACGTGCAGGAGACCGCGTCTGCCACGTGTAGGCAGTGGAGGCTGAGGAGCGGCATGATGGGTCTTCAGCAGCGGCTGCTGCGGTCGCCCCCTCGACCTCGTGCGGGTGCTGCTGCTGCTGCCGGTGCTTCTGGCTCTGCTGCTGCTGCTGCTGCTACTGGTGCTGCCAACAAGGCTGTGAACCCGGCCAGTGGGCGAGGAAACGCAGAAGCCAAGCTGAGGAGGGTGCGACGCACTAAGGAAGAGGGAGCGCAAGCACACGGCCCCGAGGAGACACCACCGGCAAGGGAGGCCGTGGCGCCAGGTGGGTTGCTGACTGTGGGTGTGGGGAGGCGGAGTTTGAGGAGCCACAGCGACCGGCGGTGGCAGGGCGAGCGGATCAAATCCCTTGGGCTCAGCCCGAGGGGAGCAGGGCAGAGCACCGCAGGGCCGCATGGGTGCATGACGTTCCGCGTGTTGCCCGCTCGTGATAGCAGTAGTGGTGCGGCATCTGCTGATGCAGGGGGCAGTGGCAGCAAGGGGTCTCCCAGGCTGTGGCAGGGTAGTGAGGCACCCTCTGCACGTCACGGTAGCACAGGGGGAGCGGCAGGCAGAGAGGTGCGAAGGTCGCCTTACTCCAGCAGCTTGCCCACCCGCGAGCGTGCCTCCTGCTGGCCGGATGAACGCCTGGACTGCCGCTCGGAGGAGACGCCAAGAAGCAGCCGCGTGAACGAGGTGGCTGCGAGCAGCAGGGTAGAGGGAAGGCGCGTTTCCCGGGACCCCATGGCGCCCGATGCCCTTGCTGTGCCTCAACACTCGAGCATCCGCCGTTACCCCTCTCATGCCCCTCATGCCTCTCATGCCCCTCATGCCTCTCATGCCCCTCATGCCTCTCATGCCCCTCATGCCTCTCATGCCCCTCATGCCTCTCATGCCCCTCATGCCCCTCATGCCCCTCATGCCCCTCATGCCTCTCATGCCCCTCATGCCTCTCATGCCCCTCATGCCTCTCATGCCCCTCATGCCTCTCATGCCCCTCATGCCTCTCATGCCCCTCATGCCCCTCATGCCCCTCATGCCTCTCATGCCCCTCATGCCCCTCAAGCGTGTGCCCTTGGCGCGGCACGCCACAGGGGTGTGCCCGCATCACCCACCCCCAAAGCTGCTTCCATGCGAGAGAGGCGCCTAGGATCCCCCACCCCTGTTCTGGCGCCCATTGCACTCCGTGCACCTTCCATGGGGCACCATGTGCCCTGCCCTGAGGCGCGGCGAGGACGCACGCATGCAAGGCACGGCAGCATGAACTCTCTCCCGTCGCAAGGCACGCGCGGGCCAAAGGAACGGGCCGTAGACGCCCGTGCAGTGCGCTTCTACGGCTCTCCTGACCCCTGGGGCGGGTGTGACTACAGTGGAAGTGATTGCAGTCTGAGTGCAGCTGAGGGAAGCATGGGAGAGGGGGGTTGGGGGAGGAGCAGCATGGGAGAGGGGGAGTGGGGGAGGAGTGTGACGTGGAGCAGCAGGGGGCAGGTGCTTGTGAGGCGAGGTGAGCCCGGGGGAGGTGCTCCTGTGAGCCCCGCGGTCACACTGTTCTCATTTGACCGGCACCGCCAGCAGATGAATGCCCACGGGCACGTGCACGTACCGCGGGCTTTAGACTTCTGAGTTTTGACTCGAATGGCAGCAATAGTGGTGAAGGCTAGTAGTGAGGCACAAGTGTAGTAGCACTGACTTGCAGAAACGCTTGTGTGGTGAACATTGGGACTCTATGTACTGTATTTTTGGAGGAATATAGGAAGCGTATGCAAATCACACTACATGCATGAAGGGTGTTCATTATAAGAGGGTTACAAGGTTGGACGACGGTGCAATAGCAAGGACCCCATCAACAACAGCAGCCCACCGCTCCCCTCTCGCATCCAAATGCACCACTCTCCACTGCTCCTCATCCCACCCTTCCTGCTCCTCCCACTCCTCCCCATCCTCCCCTTCCTGCTCGTCCCACTCATCCTCCCTCCCCTCTCCGCCCACCACCACCTCTCCTGTCTCTGCCTCCCCCTCTGCTGCCCCCCCCTCTGCCTCTGCCCCTATTAGCCCCCTCTGCCGACCATCCAATCCACTTGTGCCGGCCAGAAGATCCGGAGTGGGCGGCAGGAGGGAGATGGAGAGGTGCAGGCGGTGGGCGGGCAGCAGAGGGAGGAGGGGCCCCGGCCACTCTATGAGGCACAGACCTGGACGGGGGGGGAGGGAGGAGTGGGGGGGAGAGAGGGGGGGGGGGTTGGAGGGGGGGAGAGGAAGGAGGGTGTTAGGGGGACTGCAGCAGGAAGGCGGGGGGAATAGGGCAATGCGTGTGTAATGAGTCGATTTTTGAGTCGACTCAAAAATCGACTCATTACACACGGATTATACACTGAGAGAATTTTTGTCGCATGGAAGGCTGGGCGTAACTTGCAAAAGTTACTTGTTCGCGCGAGGCTCCCTGAGCACCAACTGGCGAGATGTGGGTTACCCACGACACGCCCCGAGGAATGAAGACCTGGCACCTTGGAACTTTCCAGGGTGTTTTGGATTGGCTGACCAGATTTCAGTCACGGTTGTTCCAACCTTGAAGTTGTTGTTCTCGTAGCGCAGTCTTTGTTTAAGAGCTCGCTTGTAAACTCACTTTTATAATTCCACCAGCACTGATGAAGGTCTGATTTGGGGCCTGTCCCAGTCAGCCGAAACTAGTTTGCGTTTTAATCTTCTAGTGGAGTTGAGTTCGGAGCTTCGAATTCTCGGTTTTTAACAGGGGTATCAATTCACCCACTGTCACTCTTTTTGCTAAAGTTTCTCCTCTTCGCTGCTGCCCACCCTAACGCTTAATGGCTACAAGTTCATTGGGTTTCCCAATTTCTTTGGGTGACGCCGGCGAAGAAGATACGAGTTTCGCACTGATTCCACGTGGAGCGGACCACTCCTCCAAGACCTACGCAGGTTACAAACGTTCCCGCACCGGCAAAGGAGTTGGAAATTCTGCATCGATTCGCGAGGAAGACAAGCAAGACAAGCAATCTGAAGATTCTCCCGACATGGCCGACATGGACGTCCAGAACGATGGCAAGCCTGTGGATCAGGCTTCTGTCAACCCGACTACCGATCGTATGTCTCGCATTCCGGAGCCTTTCAAAGGCTGGACGGCGGCGGCGGTCAAGGGCTTCAGGACGGACTTCAAGGCACTCCTCAAGGCGAAATCTAAACTGAAGAAGATGAAGGCCCTCCACGAGCAAGGTGTGATTCTGCACAGCCTTCGCACCAAGGTCGCGGAGTTCCAGACCAAGTACCCTTTGACGCGGGAAAAGTCGGCTGCATCGGTCGCCTCGGTTCATCTCGAGAACCAGAAGCGCATTCAGGAGGATTTCATCAAGTCTAAGGAGGCGGAGGTTGAGGAAATTCAGTCAGCATCCGCCTCTCACGTGGCAGTTCTAGCGGCCAACCTCGAAGACTACATACAAGGCCTCAGCTCCGACCCCGAGCTCACCGTATCTGATGCGGCTAAAGAGCGTTTCCGGAAGATCAAAGCGTCGTGCATCGAGCAGGCCAAGTCTGAGATCGTCACCGCCAAGGATGAGATCATCATCCAGGAACTACACAAGCAGAAGGCTCGTGAAGCTGAAGAGTTGAAGAAAGCTGCTACTGCTGAAGAGATGGAGAAAATGGAAACGGCTCCGGTACTCGATGAACTCGTGCTGAAAGCTACTAAGCGGCAAGTCGAGGCGATGCGCAAGGAAGTTGTGGCGAGCGTTACTGCGAACGTCACTGCGAGCGTCGAGGCGAAGCTGACTGCGAAGTTCCAGAAGAGTTTGTCGATGGGATCGCAGGATCCTAAACCGGCCCCCTCGTCTTCTAAGCCCAAGGCGGACCCGTCCAAGAACCCGAAGAACAACTCTTCTGGGAACAAGGCAGATGTACCGAAGGCTCCGAAGAAACGAGGGAGAGGCAAGAAGAAAACGAAGTCTCCAAGCGGCAGCGGAGGGAAAGGCCAACAATCTTCCTCGACTACGGCCCAAGTTCCAAAAAACGGCGGCGGCGGCCCAGGAAAAGGGCCGCGCAAGAACTAACTGCACGAGATCTCGCACTCCACCGGTTCGGACGACTGACTTTACAGCAGCTGCAGTCACGCGTCCGGAACCGGGGGGTACACAACCTGAGCTCCAAGGTTTTATCTCACGACGAAACCAAGGCGCTCGGGATGGGACTCAAATTCGTACCTACGCCGCCATGGAATTTTTCCATCGAAGCAGATCTGGATCAACTGCATCGACGGATCTCCCTCAATTTTTTCTTCAAGGATCAAGGGTCTTCAGCCTCATCACGTTTCCGGGTGAAGAATCCAAGCTGGAGACCCGAGCGGGACGTGGTCCCGGAGCATGTCTTCAAGGAGGCGCGAGCCGACCTATCTTTCCTGTTGAAAGCGTGTAAGCCGTCACGAGGACTTAACCTTCCGCGAGGAGTCCGAACGGCTTTACGCTCCTTATCGCTCGACAGCGACATCGTCATCAAGCCTGCTGATAAAAACGTCGGGGTAACTGTGATGGACCGCGCGCACTACGTCGCTCTCTGCATGGAGCATCTTGAGGATGCGACAGTGTACCAGCCGGTTCATCACGACCCAACTCCCTCTGTTCTACAGCAACTGGTGGAGCTGAAGGCGACGTGGGGACCTGCTTTTCCTGACAGTCTTTGGAAATACTTTTTCGATCGACCGCCAGGGGTTGGCGACCAGCGGCATTCTACATCCTGCCGAAGCTTCACAAGAAAGTACCCGTGGGACGACCGATCGCCGCCTCACACTCCTGGGTCACGACTAATGTGAGCCGATGGCTGGATTCTCAACTACGACCGCTAGTACTCAAACAACCGACCTACCTGCGCGACTCCCTCTCTTTGCTAGCGAAGCTGGAAGCTACGGTCTTTCCACCAACTGTACTTCTGGCCACCTACGACGTCACCTCGCTTTACCCAAGCATCTCCATCGATCGAGGGCTCGAAGCAGTTAGCAATTTTCTTCTGAGGGCAACAACACAGCTCGCTCAACCGCTCATGGCTTTCTTGGGATGGGTCATGAGGAATTCTTTCGTGGAATTCGACGGCAGGATTTTTCATCAAGTACAAGGCACTGCGATGGGAACTCCAGTCGCAGTCTGCTTTGCGGTCCTCTTTATGAGCCGTCTCGACGAGCTGCTCAAGGAGAGGTGGACCGGGATATCACCAAGTTACCACGTCCGTTACATCGACGATGGCCTTATCATTTGGCCAGGCTCGCGGGCTGACCTGGAGGAGTACCTGCGAACTTTCAACGGCTTGGATCCTTCCATCAGGATCACGTGGAATATCTCGGAGCACTCCGTTGATTTTCTGGATGTTGTCCTCCACAAGGGCAGCGTTTCAAGGAGTGCGGTCGTCTGGACCTCGGCACTTTTCAGAAACCGATGAACAGATACCTCTACCTCCCCTTTTCCTCCTTCCACCCCCGACACTGCAAGGAAGGTTTCATATGCGCCGAACTGCAGCGTTACTTACTGCGTTCGACCTCCATGCGCACCTTTCTTGCAACGAAGCAAGCTTTCTTCCAGCGGCTTCGCGACCGGGGTTACCCCCCTGCTTTCCTTCAACCGATCTTCAAGGGCGTCCTTTTCGCGCAACGCGCAACACTACTCGCCAACACTCTCGCAAACCAGCAACTTCGACGACATTCTCTCCCCTCATCACGTGGACCCCTAGTTCTGAAGACGACCTACACACCTGTGTCGGCCCGTCTCAAACTAGGGGTCGTTTTGAGTCGACTCAAAAATCGACTCATTACACACGGATTATACACTGAGAGAATTTTTGTCGCATGGAAGGCTGGGCGTAACTTGCAAAAGTTACTTGTTCGCGCGAGGCTCCCTGAGCACCAACTGGCGAGATGTGGGTTACCCACGACACGCCCCGAGGAATGAAGACCTGGCACCTTGGAACTTTCCAGGGTGTTTTGGATTGGCTGACCAGATTTCAGTCACGGTTGTTCCAACCTTGAAGTTGTTGTTCTCGTAGCGCAGTCTTTGTTTAAGAGCTCGCTTGTAAACTCACTTTTATAATTCCACCAGCACTGATGAAGGTCTGATTTGGGGCCTGTCCCAGTCAGCCGAAACTAGTTTGCGTTTTAATCTTCTAGTGGAGTTGAGTTCGGAGCTTCGAATTCTCGGTTTTTAACAGGGGTATCAATTCACCCACTGTCACTCTTTTTGCTAAAGTTTCTCCTCTTCGCTGCTGCCCACCCTAACGCTTAATGGCTACAAGTTCATGGGGAGGGAGGAGTGGGGGGAGAGAGGGGGGGGGGGTTGGAGGGGGGGAGAGGAAGGAGGGTGTTAGGGGGACTGCAGCAGGAAGGCGGGGGGAATGGGGCAATGCGGGATGGGACCGGGTGCGAGAGGTGGGGGAGGAGCCAGAGGTTGATAGAGGGGTCAGGTGTGTGTGGACGGTGGGACGAACACGAGGGGAGAAAAGGGGTGCGGGTGAGGCATGGAGGAAGGGATTCGAGGGGAGAGAAGAGCGGGCCGAGAATACCAGTGGCTAGAGAGTGTGTCAAGTCAAGGCGTTGAATGTCAGGTGATGCTGCCGCTGCTGCTGCTGCTGCTGCTGATGCTGCCGCTGCCGCTGCTGCTGCTTGCGGGCGCGGCATGGCAAGGGTGGGGATGTGCGTGCGCATGTCAGCGAGCCTGTAGGCATCGTAGTGATGCACCATGCTGCATGAGGAAAGGGGGAAAGGGGGAAAGGGGAAAGGGAGGGAAAGACAGCAATGGGACATGGGAGCAGGCGCCATGCAGTGCAGGGGGCAAAGGGGGCAAAAGGGGCAAAGGGCAATGGGGCAAGGAAGAGAGGAAGAGAGGAAGGATCACCGGCGGGAAGAGAGCAATGGCGCGGGGCATGGAGACATGGGGTGGGCGCGGCATGGGGCGTACAGGGTAGCGGCGTGGTAGGAGTTGAGCAGCAGGAAGGTGGGTGAGGGCACGATGAGATGCGCGTCCTCCATCAGGGCTCGGATGAAGTGGCGGCTGGCGGGTGGGGGGGGCGCGCATGGCACACGCATTCGTTCATTCATTCGAGCACAGGATGGAGAGCAGCACGCGCGCATGCATGCATGCTCGCCCATCGCATGCTCGCACTGCAGGGGCCAGAAAGGGGGCTGGCACACATGAGCAGGTGGTTGCATGGTGACATGCCATACCATCGATTCCCCCCCCACTCAAGGACAACTTCATTATCCCCCCCCACCCCCCCCACCCCCCCCACCCCCCCCATCCCCCCCAGCCCCAGCCCCACCCCCCCAATTCCCCTTTCCCCCCACCCCCCACACCAAGCGCACCAGAAAGTGGTCTTCCCCGCGCCCACGTCCCCTTCCAGGCACACCACGTCCCCCACACCCACTGCTCCGCCGCTCCGCCCCCCCTCATGCTCTCCGCTCCGCCCCCCCTCGCTCTCGCCGCCAATTCTTTCCGCCAATTCGCGCGCCAGCCACGCCAAGGCCATCTCAGATCGGCACAGGACACGTGGCACCCCGCCATTGGCGGACGTCAGTAATTGTGAGCCTGAAGGTTCTACAGAACGGTCGAGATTTTCTTTTTGCCCCTCCGAAGCTACTGGGCCGGCAGAACTGCCGCGTGGATGTCTACTGCCGGCTACTGTGCCAATTCGCTGGCGGAAGGAGGGAGAAGAGTGGCGCAAGTTGCGGCGAGCGGAGGGCGGACGGCAAGTGTGACTATAGGACTGTTGACAAAAGGGGCGAGGTAAAAGGGCTCGGAGAAGCGCGGATGGTGGGCGGGCGTGAGAGGTGAGGGGAGTCCTTAGTCGAGTAAGTCTTTGCATGGCCGTAGATTCAGTGCGCCCGCACACTGCAACTATTGCTACCAGAGGTGTGTGGTGGTATGAGCGCGAGGGGCTGCTGGTAGTAGTGCCGAGATGCGGCTTGGGGGAGCGGAATGGAGGAACTTGGACTTGAGCACAATGATGTCCCGTGAAATTGCCAATAGCTCTGGAGGATTCACCGTTCTTCACCGCATTGAACCTACGATTCTGGTGCGTATTTGTTATTTGGATTTCCAACTGGGAGACAAAGATTTGCCCGCCCAACACATTTCACTCGTTGAGGTTAGACTCAGCACCAATGGGCGACGGCGCGGATGGCAACTCGAAGCCGGGAGAGCAGCAGTACCGGGCGACGATATCGATCGCGGTGCCCGGGTCCATCATCGACAACACGCAGTCGCTCGAACGCGCCACCGCCGTATGAGCTTCACCTGCTTACCTCGTTAAAACCCCCCAAAACCCTCAACCCTCGTAGAAATTCGCCCGTTTTCACTCGTTCAACTCGTTTTTTCACCTAGAGCCCTTTTCTCCGGCCCTGCATTACTCCTTTCAACGTCTCTATAGTCGACTAATCGCCTAATCGCCTGACGATTTGATCTTCCTAACCCCTCGCCAGATGGCGCGCGCTCGTGTCGAATGCGCAATGTGAAGTGCTTTACTGCTCGCCCATTCGCGACCTCCCGCCCTCAACTCCCTTCCAGGTGGCGGGGCAGATCGCGCGAGCCGCCGTGATCTTCAGGGTGCACGAGATCGTCGTCTTCGACGACTGGGACTCCGCGGACGGCAACTCACATGGGCCGCGCGGGTGGCGCGGGGAGCGGTTTTCCGGGTCCGGGGGGTCGTTTCTTGCGCGCGTGCTGCAGTATCTGGACACCCCGCAGTACCTGCGCCGCGCGCTGATTCCCCTGACGCCGGACCTGCGCCTGGCGGGGCTGCTTCCGCCGCTGGATGCGCCACACCACGCGCGCATGCACGAGTGGCCGGAGTTCCGCGAGGGGGTGGTGGTGGCGGAGGAGGGGGAGAGGGGGCGCAGGGGGAGCAGCGTGGTGGATGTGGGGCTGCAGCAGGTGAGAAGGGGGGACGGAATGTCGTCTCCAATAGACCCGGTAATGCGTTGCTTGGGCTTTTGCTCCTCTTCTCTCTGCCGTCTGCCCCCAACCCTCCTCCCTCCCTCCTCCCCTCATCCCTCCCCCCCCCACCCCCCCCCCTTTCCTCCTCCACGGAAAAACTCTGGGCGCGTGTGTGTGGCAGAGGGTGCACGTGCGGGGAAGCTTCTCGGAGGGCACGCGGCTGACGGTGGCCATGGGGCCGGCATCGGAGCGAGAGAAGGTTTTTCTTCCTGGTGAGGGGGGGGGGGAGGGGGGGGGCGATGCCTGCTCCAGCTGGTGACGGGTGAGGGGGGCTAGACCTTACACCTGCACCCCTTGATGCTTGGTAGGGGTAAGGGGAGAGGGGGATGGCCGCCTTGGGAGGTGAGGGGCTGCAATAAGTGAACCATGCTCTCATTTCCCCCCTCCCCCTCCCCCCTTCCTCCCCCCCCCCAGGCGTGCTGCTCTCCCCCGTGTCCCCCCTGGCCCCCTGGGCGTGCAAGGGCCTGTACTGGGGCTACTCCGTGCGCCTTGCTAGAGGGGTGTCCGGGGCCCTCAAGGACTGCCCCTTCTCCGGGGCTGTAAGGGCTGGGGGGGAAGGAGGGGAAGGGGGGGGCAAAGGGGATGGCCGCAGCTCTGCTGCTGCTGAGGTGGGGGGGAGTGGGGGAGCAGGGGTGGGGGAAGGGGCGGAGGCGGGTGAGGGGAGGGAGGGTGGGGAGAAGGAGGGGAGGATGGGGAGGGGGGCCGGGGGAAGAAGAGGAGGCGGCGAGGCGGGAGGAAGAGAGGGGCGAAGCGAGGCTTGCATGGGGATGGGGGCGCGGATGGGGAGGCAGGGGGGGAGAAGGGGAGGAGGAGAGGGAGGAGCAGCAGGAGGAGGGGCGTATGATCTGATAATCGGTACCTCGGAGCATGGAGAGGTGAAGGAGATTGGTCAATTCAAATTTCCGCCATTCCGGTACGTCCTCCCTGCCTTTCTGCTCACCTCCATATCATCACATCTTCCCTACAGTCCCAGGCCTCCACAGTCACATGTCAACACTGCCAGGTCTTCCCATTTCCATCTCCCCTCATCGTCCTCGTCCCCCTCGTTTCCCCCCCCTCTTCTCCCTCCCCCCTCTTCTCCCCCCCCCTCATCCTCGTCCCCCTCGTTTCCCCCCCTCCCCAGGCATGCGTTGATAGTGTTTGGCGGTGTGGCGGGGTTGGAGGAGTCGTGCGAGCTGGACGAGGGCTTGGAGGAGGGCCGCAGGGAGCCGCAGCAGCTGTGCCACTACTACCTCAACACGTGCTCGCTGCAGGGCTCGCGCACCATCCGCACCGAGGTGAGGGCGGGGGGCAAGGCCTTGATGAGGGGGAAGGGCATGGGATGCAGGCACGGGAAGGGCATGGGATGCAGGCACGGGAAGGGCATGGGATGCAGGCACGGGAAGGGCATGGGATGCTGGCACGGGAAGGGCATGGGATGCAGGCACGGGAAGGGCATGGGATGCAGGCACGGGAAGGGGGGGGAAGGGGAGAGAGGAGGCAGGCGGAATAGGCAATGAGGCACATGCGCCATGATACGTTCTGCATTGAGGCAGGCGTGAATTGAGGGTGTGAGGCCTGCATGGACTGGCGGCTTGAGCTGTGCTTGTGTCGGTTGATGAGCGGGGCACGCCTGAGCACGAGCGCCATGCTTCTCGCCTCGTGCGTGTGTCCCCTCCCCCCTCCGTTGGTGCTTGCAGGAAGCTGTTCTTATATCGCTCGCACACATCTTAGCTCTTATCAAGTGACCAATGACCGCTTATCACCACTTGAATCGGAGGACTCTGCTGCACTTAATGGTCATTGAAGCACGCCCCTTGATTGGGACAATCACTAGGCGCACTGGAAGGGCACTTTCACTAATATATTCGGTCCTTTAGCATCGCCCAAGCGTGTACAGTTTGGGCAAGCAATCGGTCGGCGTTGTCGTGTTGGCCTTGTTTTGTACTGCTGAGCTCAAGAGCCACTCGATTCCCCCATGGGCTGAACTCCGAACTGCATGGCCATTCCCACATCTCCACCGCTGCCGTACCGTGTTACGGCATGTATCTACTGCAGGGCTGCAAGCGAGCATCCTCTATCATTGTGTAGCAACTGCCTATACGTGGCCCTGCACCTGCAGCACATATCTGCACCCTACCAGCTTCTACACTAAGTGCTGCTACGAGTCTATACAGCTTCCCTGTGGCATGTGCTACCAGGCTACCAGTCTGCTGCCCCGTGTGCCTTGCAAGGTCGTCGTCAGCACAGGGAACCTACTGAGAGACAGTGGGTGTGGTGCGGTGTGGTGTGGTGGCACTTGCAGGGGCAGCGCTGCATGATGATATGTACGGCCATTGCCCCATCCACTCCTCTGCCTCCTCTGCTTCCAGATGCCGTGTCTACCTGCTGTGGATGCAGCCTGCATTCCTGCGTCAAAACATGGCCTACGCTACGCATGCATGCAGCAGCTTTCAAACAGTTATGCACATACCTAGTCGCAAAACAAGCACGTGTCCAGTCAAGCAAAGTCAAGCGAGTCAAAGGTCAGTCAAAGGTCATCTGCAGAGCAGAGAGCATCTGTCTGGGCAGAAGTCCCAGACTCCAGACTCCAGAGGCTGCTAGAGCCCAGGCAAGGGGCTGCTCCTGCTGCTACTGCAGATGTCAAGAGCAGTGGCAGCAGCAGCAGGAGGGCGCAAGAGGACAGAGTTGTGACCAGGGTCACGCAGCAGCACGCAGGCGGACAGGCAGGCAGGGTGGGAGGAGAAAGTGTCTGAGAGAAGCAGCTTGTTCCCGAGGAGCCTGATTCAAGGGAAGAGAACTCGAGCACCACCAGGCTCCTTGGGCAGTCGTGCCAGCACTGTGGCCTCCACCCCGCATGGCCTCCAGCCCTGGCGCACTCCCCACCTGCCACAATTGCACACAGGCACGTCTCCTTGGCACCAACCACATGCCCACCTTCTTGGCACCAACCACATGCCCGGCCGCTGCCATAGTCTGCTCAGGTGCTGACGGGGATGTGAAGAGCAGTGGGTGTGCCGCGGCAAGCATGCACACAGGTGGGCATGTGTGGCTGCACACACCCGCTGCGGCAGCCATGCCTTCACACCCGGTACGCTACGCAGCCATGCCCATCTTGGCTCGAAAGACACCTCGTGAGATTCCCCCCTGGCGGCTCATCACTGCAATCTGCTGCGTGCATCGCCCCCCTGGCAGCACGTCCACCCCTGTAGCAGCAGCAGCCTCCATCCGTCACCACGCTCGCAGGAGAGCTCCACAGCAAAGCAGAGCCTCTTAGCCGCCATGCTCCAGCACTCCTCCCTGCCCGCCACCCCCTCGCCGCCTCCCTCCCTCACCGCACACCGCTTCTCTTGCACATTCCTCGCCCCGCCCTCCCCTCACTCCCCTTCATCTCCCCACCGCCCCCTCATGCCCACCGTCTCTTGCGCGCCGGCCGCTCCATCTTGCTCTCCCCTGCTGCCGCCCCTTGCGCTCCCTCTGGCGTACCAGCGCCAGCAGCACCACTTGGCATGTTCCCCTCCTCACTCCCCCTCCCCACTCCTCCTCCCCCCTCCCTCTCTCTGCATCTCTCCTCCCCCGTGCCTGCATCACTCGACTTACGCTTCCTCCCTCCTCCTCCGCCCCCCCCCCCAGCATAAGCATGAGCGCCACTATCCTCCCCACCACTCACCCCACGCCCATCCTCTGCCCCTTCCCCCCCCACGTGCACCACCAGGTGACCCTGGCTCTGGCTGTCCCGCCAGTGCGCCCCCCCTCTCTTGTCCGCCGCACCTTCCGCCCCCCTTCCCCCCACCTGCACCACCAGATGCCCGTCTGTGCGCTGCACAGCACTGCGACGCATAGCAGTGCCACCAGCAGCAGCAGCAGCTGCAGCACTGTCTGCAGCAGCGGGAGAAGGGGAGTGAGGGGCAGTACCTGGTCTCCTGCCGTCCTCCCCAGGTGGTGGGCCCCTGTGCGCGTGCCGATCACCTCTCTCCCCGCCTCGTGACTCCCCTCCCCTCCTCCTATCCCCTCCTGCTTCCTCCAATGGACCCTCCATTCCTCCTCCCCCCCCCCTCTCCTTCGTCCTCTCCTTCCCCCTCTCCCTCTCCTCCCGCCCTCGCCCTTTCTCCCGGCCCCTCTCCTCCCGCTCCTCGCCCTCCCACTCCCTCCCGTCCTTCTCCCTGCCCTCCTTCTCCCTGCCTCGCCCCGCCTTGCCCTTCTCCTCACGCAGCTTCACTCTCAGGTCTGCCACTGGCCCCTCTTTGCCCGCACCCTCGCGCCCCATCCCTTCACGTCCCATAAACTCATTCCCCACCTCCTCTCGCCCAATACCCTCTCGCCCCACTCCTTCACTGCCTCTCCACTCCTCTCTCTCGCCTCTCCTCCACTCCCTCTCCCCTTTAATCCCCGCCCTCTCCTCCCCCTTCCCCACCGCCTCCCTCTCTCGCTCCTGACCCACACTTGTTGCCCTCTCCCTTCCCCTCTCCCGCTCCCTCTCCTTCTCCCCTCTCTCCCTCTCCCCTCCTCTCTCCCTCTCCCCTCCTCTCTCCCTTCCCTTCTGCTTCGGCCTTTCCCGGCCTCTCAACCCCTCTTCACTCGCCCTCTCCCCTCCTCCCTCCCTCTCCTCTCGCTCTCGCCCTCCCCTCTCCCCTTTATCACCCCTTCCACCACGATCAACCTTCTCATCCTTCTCTCTCCTCTCGTCCTTCTCTCTCCTCTCACCCCTCTCCCTCCTCTCACCTCTCTCTTCCTTCACCCTGCTCCGCCCGCTCCTTTCTGGTTCCGGACCCACACTCCCTCCACGCTCCTCCTTAAAGCCCCTCTCCTTCTCCCGCTCATCCTTCCACTTCTCCCTCACCCTCTCACCTCTCTCACCCCTCTCCTCCCGCTCCTCTCGCCATGCCCCCCTCCTCTCGTCTCCCTCCACTGCCTTCTCCGCCCTTTCTCCCACCCCCACCCCACCGTCCCTCACCTCCTCCTGCCTTCGCCCCAGCATCTCCCCTCCCCTCCTGCTGAACCCTCCACCATCCACTCCCATCCTGCCAAGTGGTGCGTCGACAGCCATTCGCCCATACCCCATGGGGGACCCATAGTTCTCCCTCCCCCCCGCACTCCCTGCAACCATCCTTCCCCCCTTCACCATGCCACCTGCTCCACTTGCACCCGGACCTGGCCCACCCATGCCCATCCCCAACCCCGGCGGCATCCCCATACCTATCCCCATGCCCATGCCCATGCCCATATCTCTGGGCCCCATGCGTCCGCCCATCCATCTCCCCCGCCCATGCCGGCCATGCCTCCCCCCATACGCGTGTGCAAGCCCTGGGGGCAAGGGCCCTCCTCGCCCGCCCCTGCCCCTGCCTCCCCCGTACCGCGCCCCTTCATGGAACCTGCCCTCGTGCTGGTGAGGCGGGCCTCTCGGGGAGAATGGCCTGGCGACGCCAGAGGCAGCATCAGCATCAGCAGCATCGGGACCGCCTGCTCCATCGCTGCCCCTCTCCCTCACCCATCTGCCCCTCTCCCTATCCCTACCCTCCCTACCCTCCCTACCCTCCCTACCCTCCCTACCCTCCCTGCCCTCCCTGCCCTCCCTGCATTTCTCACTCCCCTCCTCACCCCCTCCTTCCTCCTCCTCGTCCTCCTCATACATCTCTCCAAAGTCCTCCCCCTCAAAGGCCAGCTCATCCTCATACTCCTCTTCCTCCTCCCCCCCTCCTGCTGCTGCCTCCTCCCCTCCCCTCGCTTCCTCCCGCTCCTCCAAACCACCCTTCTCTCTCCCCCCCGCACCTCCCTCCACCACCTCCTCCCCTGCCCCATTGCCCTCCTCCCGACCTCTCCCTCTCTCCCCTCGCCCCCTCTCCTCCCCGCGCTCCTTGCCCCCCCCACCTCGTTTCCCCTCCCTCGCCCCTCCCTCTCCCTGCTGCTCCCCATCCTCCCCATCTTTCCCATCCTTCCCATCCTTCGCTCTGCCCCTCACGTCTTCCTCCCCATCACCCCTCTCCGTCTCCTGCCCCTTGCCAGCTGGCGCCGCCACGTCATCATCGTCATCAAAGTCGGCAGTCTGACGTCAGTGAGAGGTGAGGGGAGGATTGAGGTGGGGGAAAGGCAGGGAAGGAGAAAGGGGGCGGGATGAGAGGGGTAGTGACTGGACAACTGTCTCACGCCATGGTCACAGAGGGATGCAACAGTTGTAGAGAGACACATGGCGGATGCCTTGAGGCGTGGCCCATGGGCAGCATGCAAGCCGGAACGGTGGCAGGTGGGCGAGAATCAGGCGCACCCAGAAGCACGCATGCACGCATGCAAGCATGCAGGCGTGCAAGCATGCAGGTGTGTGAGGGGCTGGGACTGACCGGCGTGGGAGGGCGTTCATGGAGCTCATGGAGCGCGTCCTCGTCACCACGCCCCTCCTTCCCATGCCCATGCGCCATCTCCTCGTCACCACGCCCTTCCCCCTCCTTCGCATGCCCGCCCCTCTGCCCGTCTCCTCCTTCCACTTCACCCCTGCCCTTCCCCTTCCTCTCCCCCCTCTCATCCCTCTCCCTCTCATCCCCCCCACCCTGCCCGTCCACCTCCTTCCCCTCGTACGCCTCCAGCCCCACGGCCCCCTCGCCATCGTGGTCGTCCCACATGCTGCCGTAGTCCACCGCATCCCCCCCGCCATCCTCCTCCTCCTCCGCCTCATCCCTCCCCCTTTCCTCCCCACCCTCCTCGTCCCCACCTCGCCCCTCCCCTCCTTTACCCCTGCGCTCGTCCTCGTCTCGAGCCCCCTTCCCCTCCTCCTCCTCCTCCTTCTGCCCCCTTTTCTCCCGCCTGCCCCTCCTCCTCTCGCTTTCACCTCCTTCCTCCTGCTCCCCTGCGGCCCCCTTCCCCCTGTCCCTCTTTCCTCCCTTCCCCTCTCCCCTGTCCTCCCCCTTGCCCTCCCCCCTCAGCACTCCCCGCCCCTCCCCACTCTCCTGCTCATCATCCCCCTCACCCGAACCCCCTCTCCTCCTCCTACTGCCCGCCTCTCTCCGCCCCTCCCGCCCCCTCAGCGCCCAGCTTCCTTCACCATCGCCCTCCCCTCCGCCTCTCGCCTCCTCCATCCCTACCTTCCCTCGCTTCTCCCTCGTGCCTCTCACCCTCCCACCTTCCTCGTGCCTGCCCTCCGCCCACTCCTCTTCTCCCTCACTCTCCCTCCCCTCCCTCCACTGCCTCCCCTCTCTCCCATCCCTCGTTCCTCTCCTCCCCGCATGCTGGTCTCCCCTACCCCCACTCTCCCCCCATCCTGCCTCATCCCATTCCTCCCTCCCTGCTCGTCTCCCCTTCTTCCCCTCCTCCTCCACCCGTCTCCCCCCCCGTCTCTCCACTGAAAGTCCTCTCTCCCCCCTGCCGTCCCACTCCTCCCTCTCGTCCTCCCACTCTCCCTCCCCTCGCATACCCTTCGCACGCCCAAACTCCCCTCCCTTGTCCTCTTCCCCCCTTCGCCCCACTCCCCTCCTCCTCTTCTCATCCCCCCCTCTCTCCTCCTGCCACTCCCTCTTATCCCTCCTCCCCTCCTTCCCCTCCCCAAACTCCCCCCCTCGCCTATCGAACCCTGACACTCTCCCCCCTTCACCCCCCTCCCGCCCCTCCCTCCTCCACCCCACGTCCCCCTGCCTCCGCCCCTCCTCCTCCCCCCTGTACCTCCCCCGCCTCTCCTCCCCTCGTTCCCTCCCCCCCACGGGCCCCTCCCCAAAACCCCCTTCCTCCCTCCCCATGCCTCTTCCCCGCCGGCCATACCCCTCCCCTTCCCCCGTCCCCCCCTTCGGTCTCTCTCTCCCCACAACCCTCCCTTCTCCCGCCCCCACTCTCTCTCCCCCCTGCCCTCTCTCCCCCTCCACTCCCCCCGCCTGCCCCTTTCCTCCTCCCACTCTTCCTCCGCCTCCTCTGGCCCCTCGTCGCCCCTCATCCTCCTCCTCTTCCTCTCCTTCCCTCCATACTCATCCCAACCCCGCCCCTTCCCGCCCTCTCTCCCTCTCCCCCTCTCCACCTCCTCCTCCTCATCCCACTCTCTCTGTCCCCTCCTCCTCTCCTCTCTCCTCCTCCCCATACCCTCATCCTCCCCATAGCCCTCCTCATCCTCCTCCTCTGCATCCCCCCGTCCCCCCCTCCCCCTCCCCTGCCTCCTCGACTTTGCCCCCATGCGCCCCTCCCCTTCCCCCATGCTCTCCCCTCCAGTGGCATAGCTGGCAGCATGGGTGGGGGAAAGGGGGGGGCGGTGCATCCCCATCCCCCCAGAAAACCCTCCTCCACCCCCCATATCGAATCCTCCCCGCCTGGAGCCTCCCCCCATGGGGCCCCCCGCACCCCCCATCCCTCCCCCCATACCTCCACCCATGCCTCCCCCCATCCCTCCGCCCATGGGTCCGCCCATGGGGCCAGCGGCGCCAGCAGGGGGGCTGCGCAGGAACATGGGGTGGGGGTGCATGTGCGGGGGCAGCATGCCGGGCTTCATCCCCATCCCCATGGGGGCGCCGGGCCTATGGGGGGAGGAGGAGGGGGAGAAAGAAGTAAGGGAAGGAGGTGAGAAGGGCACAAGGGAAAGGGTGATCGGATGGGGAGAGAGGACCGCATGATGCATGGGCGAAAGAGAATGGAGCAGTGGCAGCATATGAGGTGGCGGCATATGAGGTGGCGGCGGGGTGAGTGGCACACAAGGTATGGCATCCAAGGTGATTTTTGAGTCGACTCAAAAACCACCTTCGGCGACATGAGTGGCACACACGGTACCGCATCCACAGCCACATGTTCCTCCATGCAAACGCCCCACTCGCGTCACGCATTCATCCCACCCCCACACTACTGCGCATGAAGATGAAGACGCTCACCTCATCATGTGCCCGGGACCAGGCCCCATGCCGCGTCCCCTTCCTCCCCCTTCCATCCCAAACCCGCCCACTCCCCCGCGCCCCATGCCCACTCCCCTCCCCCCCATGCCCATCCCCGCCCCCATGCCCATGCCATCTGGTCCCCCAGGAAACATGGGCGGGAAGGGGGGATGCTGCCCGCGGGGGAGGGGGGGAGGCGGGGGGAGAGCACCAGGCAGCCCCCCTGCTGCTCCCCCTGCTGCCCCCCCTGATGCACCCTCCACAGAGGCAGCGCAACTGGGCGGCCCGGCAGCAGCAGCAGCACCTGAAGAAACAGCTGGGGTGCCACCTGAACTAGCTGGCCCTCCCCCAGGCGCGCCCTGCTGCCCTGACAGCGCCCTGCCTCCCTGCCCCTCCCCATGCATCCCCCTCCCACCCCCTGCTCCACCTCCTCCCCCTGCGCTGCCACTAGGTCCTCCCCCTGCCCCTCCGCTTCCCCCTGCGCCTCCCCCTGCTGCCCCCATCCCCCTGCGAGCGTCAGCAGTGGGCCCCGCAGAGTGTGGAGCGGCAGGGATGGGCGGGGCGTCGGGGGGTAGCAGGTGGGGGGGCGGAGGGGGCTCCATGGCCAGCCCCTCCACCGGCACCTGCACCGGCAAAGCGGGGGTAGGGAGAGGAGAGGAGGGGGGGAGAGGGATGGGAAGCTGCTATGCAGGGGTGGCCTTTCCTGGGGGGAAACCAGATCAGATCGCCACGAGATGCATCGTCCGGGCGATCATGCACCGCACCATGCATCATGTGCCGTACGCCCCCATGACGTCAGCAGTCTCCTCACCTCGATGATAACGTCAGCGTCCACAGGGCGCGGGCGGCGCGTCTCCCAGGAGGGGCGGCGCTCGACGAAGAAGAGGGCGTCGGCGTGCGGGCGGCTGCCCATGGCGTGCGTGACAGCTGTCACCAGCTCAGGCGGCATCTCGGGGTCGATGTCCTGACCAGGGGGGGGGAGGGATGAGAGGGGGATGGGATGTCCAAACATACGAACAACCATACAACCAAACAGATGAACCCCCAAACATACGAACCCCTAGACATACGAACACCCAAACATACGAACACCCAAACGTACGAACGCCCAAACGTACGAACGCCCAAACGTACGAACGCCCAAACGTACGAACGCCCAAACGTACGAACCCCCAAAGATACGAGCACCCAAACATATGCAAGAGCAATCGGGGCGAGTACTTGCTTGCTACCCCGAGCAAGTACTTGCCCCGAGGCGAGGCAAGGCGAGTATGCGCTCACCTCAGTGGCCATGCGCTCACCTCAGTGGCCATGCGCTCACCTCAGTGGCCATGCGCTCACCTCAGTGGCCATGCGCTCACCTCAGTGGCCATGCGCTCACCTCAGTGGCCATGCGCTCACCTCAGTGGCCATGCGCTCACCTCAGTGGCCATGCGCTCACCTCAGTGGCCATGCGCTCACCTCAGTGGCCATGCGCTCACCTCAGTGGCCATGCGCGACTCGAACACGGGGATGCGGCTCTGCATGCTCGCCTCCAGACGCAACTGGGCCTGTGCGGTGAGCGGGAGTGGGAAGGGATGACAAGTGTGGGGAGTGGGATGAGCCGGTGGGTTTGGTAAGAGCGAGCGGGGAGTGGGTCAACATCACGAGCTCTGATGCACTCATTGGTGCCTACAAGGCTCATCATGACCTCTAATCCTAATAGAAAAAAGATGTTCGTGCCAAATGCTACACCACCACCCCACTTGCTGCCATGCACCCAACTCTGAACAACCCCCCATCCGCCCTCCCCAAGACATCATAGCACCCCTTCACTCTAGTCCCCCTGATTAACACCCATACAGCCCTCACGTGAACTAATTACCAGGCGGTGGCAGTAGTCGCGCCACACCCACATACCAGGCGGTGGCAGTAGTCGCGCCACAGCCCCTCGTTCATGTCAAAGTTGAAGTAGTCGCTGACATCAGCGCCCGGGCGGCGCCACGGCTTGTCCTCGAGGCTGTCGATGTCCAGATCGAACACCGTCCTGCGCCGTCCATGGGGCCAACCGGGTTTGATAGCACAGACATGTCAGACAGAGTGTTTGGGTGAAAGATGCACAAGAATCAAATGGCGGATACAACGGTGTTGACGGGACAGCACTACTACAACTTCAGTATAGTCGCACTCACTTGGTGGGCGGCAGGTTGATCTCGATGTGGTACCCCCTCCCTGACCCATGCTGCCACACTGCAGGCGGCCGCCCCCCCTGCCCGCCCTGCTGCGGCTGGTACTGCCCCGCCTGCCCCCCCCCTCCCCCCATTGATGGCCCCCCTGCGCCCATTCTCCCCCCCATGCCCCCACCCCAACCTCCCCCCTGCCCCGCAGCTCCCCCTGGCCCCCCTCCTGCTGCAAGCGCGCCAGGGGCGGAACCAGGGGCAGGGGGGGGAGTTGCGCCCAAGGCTGCACCGTCCATGGGGGAATGGCCCTGGTAGGGGGAGGCAGATGGGGCATGGGGGGATGGAGATTAGAGAAGGGCGGGGGGGCCGGGGGGAGGGTGGGGGGGGGAAGGGCTTGTGCGAGGGTGTAAGCGATGAGCGCATGGAGGAGCGGCGCACACATGTGCAAATGCAAAGGGGAGGCAGGGCAGAGCAGTAGAGCGAGGCAAGGCCAGTGGATGGTGAGAGTGGCGAACCGTGCGGCACACACCAGGGGAAGCAAAGCAGCAAGCGAGAACGAGAGCAAGGCACCTTAGAGGGCGGCGTGACTCGATAGCCGCGCCCTGCTCCAGGCCCACCCTGCCCTGCAGGCGTCGCTGGCACCCCCGCCCCGCCTCCCCCCTCACCCTCTCCCCCCTCCGCCCCTTCCTCCCCCTGGCCTCCCCCTGCGCCCCCCGCCATGCCCCCATACTCTCCCCCTCCCCCCATGCCGTACATGCCCTCCTCACCCATCCCCTCGTCCCACTCGCCGACAGGTGGCACAGGGTCATTGGCCACAATGATCAGATCGTCATCGTCATCATCCTCACTCTCCTCCTCCTCCTCCTCCTCCTCCTCCTCCTCCTCCTCCTCCTCCTCCTCCTCCTCCTCTTCTCCCTCCCCCTCTGCTCCGCCCGCCCCTTCCCCCACCTCCGTCTCCCCGTCTCCTCCAGCACTCCCCCTTTCCTCTTCCGCGCTCATTTCTCTATCCCCGCCCATCCCCTCCTCCCCTCCCGCGCGTTCCTCCGCCTCCGCCACTGCATCCCCCCCGCCCGCCCCTCTTGCCCCCCCCGCACGTCCCCGTCCCCGTCAACATCCATGGCTGCCCGCTCCTCGCCCCCTGGCCGCGCCTCCTCATGGGCTCGCCCATCTAGCCGCTCCTCTGGCCGCCCCCCTGCCTTCCCCTGGTCGGCCTCGTACCTCTCCCTTCCCACGTCCTTCACCCCCGCCTCCTCCCCCTGCTCTTCCTCCTCCTCCAGCTCCGCGAAGGGGAACACGCTCTGCTCGCCCTCCGCGCCGTCCTCTCCACCAATATCACCACCACCCCCACCGCAGCCATCGCCAGCGCGATACAGAAACTTCTCCAAATCCTCGTCTTCTTCCTCCTCCTCCTTTTCCTCCCCCCCTGCTGCCTTCTGCTCGCCCTTCACTCTCTCCGCGTCAAACCTAAGCCCCCCTGCGCCACCTTCCCCCTCACTGTGCGCTGATTCCCGCGGTTCCGCCCTTGCGCCGCCCTCCGTTGGCCCCTCCTCCTCCCCCCTCGCTTCCGCATCCTCTCCCCCCTCCCCCTTCATCCCCCGAGAAAGATCTTCCGTTTCGTTATGCCCCTCAACGTCTCCCGCTACAGGCACATTCGTTACAGCAGCAGCAGCTTCAGAAGCAGGCCCGTCAGCCCGAGCAGCAGCAGCGGCAGAGCGGCCATGTGAATCAGAGGCCGGCGTGGCGGCATCACCCGGCAATGCAAGCGGCTCATCAGGCCGGCCTTGCCCTCCGATGCCGTGTGCCTTCTCGCCGCCATACAGCTGATTATACAACTCGTCCTCCTCGTTCTCCTCGTCCTCCTCGCCACTCGCTGACGTCACTCCATCTGTCTGCAATGGGATCGACGATCCACCAACCGCTGTCCCGATATCCGCGTTATAAGCTTCTCCAGCATTAGAGGCGGGCGTGGCTTCGGCCGGAACAGGCGGCGAGGCGGCAGCTGCGCGGATCGATGCTGCCGCGGAAGCGGGCACGGCGTGGGAGCCTATCGGTGCGGAGGCGGCGGCGGGGATGGGTGTGGGTGAAGGGGCCGCAGCTTCGGGCTTAGGCGGCTCCGCATCGGGTAAGGCGGGGGTCGACGACGCCAGTGCGACCAGATCGGCAGGCTCAGGTTTTGCGGGTACGGAAATCGCAGCAGCGGGTGGAGCGGCGAGCGGCGAGCCGTAGAGCAGCGCCTCGTCGTCGGCATCCCCGAGGTCGTCGTCGCCGCCCAGCCCGTAGTCGTACTCCGATTTCACGACGGCGGGAGCGGCGGTGGAGGTCAGCGGGCCGGACGCCGTGCCGACGTCGCCGTAGAGATCCTCGAAATCGTCGTCCTCCATGGCGCGCGCCCAGCAACGTAAATGTCAGCCAGCAATTAGTCGAGAAACTGGGCCATTCGTAAGGATGGCAAGGTGAACTAAGCACAGATTGTGATGGTTTGAATGACGCACTGGATGGAGACACGGTCTGCTGCTTGCACCTGTCTTAGGGCGTGTCCCAAGCATACGTTTTCGCGCTAAAAACCCTACCCAACCGTTTTAGGTTGCTGTGAGATCCTTCTAAAACAGCTAGCATCTTACCCAATCGCAATCAAACATACTCTTGGGCCACGCCTAGGGCGTGGAACATTTTCTACGAACATGCCTCGCGGTCTACCTTTCAGAGAGGTTGAAAGGGTTATAGTACGCTTAAGTGCGTTGCATAGCAATACAAACAAGGTACAGTACGGTGAATGTTCAGCTCTGAAGCTGTTCATTCATAGATCTTACAAGGTTCATAATAAGCATGCACGCAATCAATGTAGTAAGTGATAAATTATTGCTTGCTGGTTCTTGAATGAATCATGGGTGATTTCTCAAGAAATAAACAAGGTTTCATGAGGACAAAGCAGTGTCGGTATCGCGTACGCCGCTCTTCTTCGGGTGCCCTTTCTTTCCCTCCAAAACTCGCTCTTTTTCTCGACCTCTCAGCTCCAACTCAAACCAACCAGTCATGGCCGCCGATACGTCGCGTCGCATTGACCCCAGCAATAGGTCCGTCCGTTGCTTCGAATTGTCGTAATCACCTCCGCAATTCAATTACGTGTTCCCAATTCAATTCGCCGCCACCACCAACGCCCTTCTCGAACCTCCCAGCAAGGTTCGTGTGTCGTTTTCTTGTGGTATTTGTACGCCATTGAGGTTCTTTTGCCACGTAGCTCCGAGCATTTTCCCATTAAAAGAATTACCAAGTGGCTAGTCATCGTTGCATCGCGCTGCTATTTCGCATTCCGGGGCGGGAAACCGGCCAAACAGCGGGGTCGAGGTTGTCAGTGGGAAAAAAAGTGGTCGGTGGGCTTTCGGCCAGCGTAGGCGAATGTTGGTACGCGTCCTCCCATGCTCGCTCACGACACGCCCATTCCAGAGTCTCGCTTTCCTATTCTTGATGCCCACTCTAGCTTCTCGCACATTCCTCGCTCATCTATTCTCTCGGGAAATTAGGTGACGCTAGGCGGCTTCACTAGCTCTCCACGTAACTCTGTCACTTCCTCGCCACTCGTACACCAGCCAGCCTCATGCGTCAAAACAACCACGAGGCGGCTTCAATATTTCTCGTGCTGCTCTTGATGGCAGCAGTTTGCGAGAGTCCCCGTCGGAGCATCGCGATGACTAACTGCCAGCGGTGTTCTTGTGGAGAGCCGACATACTTGGCTGTCACGGCAGCTGAGTGTGTAACATATCGCCATACGAACCGTCCCTCCTAGTCTAACTATCGCGACTAATCTGGACGTTCCTAGTTTCCCCTTGCGCGCGAAGTTGCGGGAACATATTGGGAATGTTGGGTTGGGTTGGATACGGTTGGGATTGAAGGTTGGGAAGATAGGTTTGGATGATAGGGTTGGAGTGGTGGTTACCACTCCATCACCAAGTGACAGGTTGGATTTGGGTTGGGCAGTAATTGTTCCTATTGGCTGCAATTCCAACCAATGCACATTTAGCAACCCAAGATAAGTTTGCACACCTCAGCAAACTGATTCCAGCTCACTACAAATTCCTTGGTTGGGAGAACCCAACCCATGCCACATGGGCAAGGCCCACAATTGGTGCACCACCCCCTTGGCCATGGAGGAGGTGGTTGCACCCCAAGGGGTCTAGGAAGTGGGAGGGCTCTTGGAGCTCATTCTTCACTTTCCTTCCCCAATAATCCAATATTGGAAGAAGGATCCTCCTCCTCTCTAAGTCCTCCAACTGCTATCTCTACCACAAAGGACTTAGCCAAATCTTGGCTATTTTGTGGTCATCTCCAAGTTCTCTTTGAGGTTCCAGCCTACTCCTAGTTCTAATTTAGGAGTGCTATTTTGTTGTATTTCCGCCATTTATAAACCGGTGTTGTTATAAACCGGTGGATGTTATAATTGGTTTCAGAGCTAGTTTCATCTTGTCCTTGTGGGCAAATTTTTCTTTTTCTAGAATTGGTGCTTGTGCAGCTTCTGGTAGTGGGTAGTCATTGAGGCCAGTGTTGCTGGTGACTCTTTAGAACTACTTGACTGAAGTTTCACGGTTGAAGTGTTCAAGCCTTCAAGCATCAAGTGAAGTCTCGTTGAGACTTAACCTTATTCCAGAGGGAATAACGGTTGTGTGGCAGATCTGGAAAGATCTTGCTGTTTCTCACCTTTTGGGTGAAAGAGATTGTTGAAAATCGTTCACAATTTCCAGTTGGGGAATTTGTGATTGATTGGCTTTATCCACAGTGGTGGTAAAAGCATTTTCAACAGATCTGTTCCTCTTGGGAGATTGACATTTGTCATGTTCAGATCTATTGCAGAAAATTCTTAATTTGTTAAGAATTTCTTGGCTTATCACAGTGGTGATTATAGATCTGTTCATCTCCCCTTTGTACGTGGGCATTATTTCTCTTTGCTCTTCAGCAATGGCTTAAACCAACAATGTCACTAGTGGTGATGCTGTTAACCTTGATGAGGTGGAGAATGCTGCTGCTGGCATTGATCTTAATGCTGATGAGGTGATGGTTGAGCAATCTGCTCCTGTTAAGGAGAGTAATGGTGCCTCTGTTTCTTCTCCTGAAGAGGAGGAAGACTTGGACCTTGGGGGAGAGGAGGAGTTGCTGTCTGAGGAAGTCAAACAGATGCAGGCTCACCTCTCCAACCAGAATATCACATTGATCCAACAACAGGTCCTTATTGACCAGCTGAGGAGCAAGCTGTCAACGCAAGACAGCAAGATCCACAACCTGATGGCGGATCTGAACCTGGCACGTCATGATGCTCGGGACAATATCAAGAAGTTGGCTAAGCACTCAGCTGCTATTGCAGAGATGCAGAACCTCATCAAGCAGCTGAGGAGGGGTACCATGTACCACCCTGCACAGGCAGCTGAGGCATCTGCTGGTGCTAGTTCCGAGCAGGAACGCCCTTCGGAGGCGCCTGCGGCTGTTGCTACAAATAGGCAGCCCTCTTCGGCGCTTGGCACGTTCCCTATGACCCTGCCCCAGTTTGTCCATGGCAAAATGGATGTGGAAGCATGGCTTACCATGGCGGATGAGTTCTTGCTTGTCCATAATGTGCGTGACGAAGCTCGCGTCGTTGCCGCAACCACTGCTTTGGATGAGACGGCACGCAAATTGGCGTATGGCCGCAAGAGGCAGGCGTTGGCAAATGGCGAGCCTTTTGGCTGGGCTGAATTTGCTGCTGCCCTCAGGCAGGCCTTCCAGGTGCAGCCAACGCTCCTGGAGGTGCGCGGTCGCCTTGAGGCGCTCAGGTGCGGAAACCGCCCCGTACAGCTGTATGCGAATGAGTTCGAGGAAACCATGCTGCTGTTGAAGACGGATGATCAGCTCACTGAGAGTGAGAAGGTCTTCTTGTTCTTTAACGGCTTGCCAGCGCACATCCAGAGCTTGCACATGATGGATGGTAAGGGCGAGCAGTGGCAGAGCTATGGGGAGCTGAAGAAAGCTGCTGCGAACACGGATGTACATTTCCGCGCTTACGCAAAAGTTAACCAACCCCCGGAGGCGTGCAGGCCTCCTCCTGGGCCTGGCGTCTCAGGGGGAAGGCAGCAGCCCCAGAGGTGGAATAATGGCAAGAACAAGAGGCCCTACCCCCAGCAGGGACATCAGAATGGGCACCACTTCAAGAAGCCCAATGGTGGGGGCCCTAAGGGTCCCGCTGGCAAGGGGGAGGGACCTAAGCGTTGTTTTGGTTGTGGCGAGCCTGGCCACTTCGCAAATGTTTGCCCTCAGAATGAGGCAGGAAAGGGTGCTACCAAGGGGAAGGGTGGTCTCAAGACTAACGAGGCCGGCCCTTCTGGCCAGCGCCAGGGTTTTCAGAAGACCAACTAGGGTGTGGGTACCTAGCTGGCTTGGTAGATCGAGGGGATGAAACTATTGCCTTGCGTGATGAGGATTTGCTAAAGCTTGAGAAACTTGCTAGCGGCAAGATTTCTTGTGTGTTTGCACCTTCTTTGAGTGAATCTTCTTTGTTTGCCTCTCGATTGCACCCACTAGAGGAAGTAACAACTGAAGCTTTAAGAGATAGCTTTTAAGTTATTTGTTGCAATTTGGAATCGCTGCCGTCGATTATGGAAATTGTGGGTCGTTGCACCCAGGAGCACCCTCTAACTGCAGTTGGATTGGTGACTCGCCCTCCGAATGGCAGTAGTTTTCACATGCTTAAAGGATGGACTGTCATTGCCGAATGGCAAAAAGGACACCATGTGTGGTGGTCAAACGCCCATGCATACGGACGCAGCAAGCACAAGATTCGGGCATATTATTTGCCTCCAACCAATGTTGTGGCTTGCCCGATCCGACCCAAGCACCAACAAAATTTGTTGTTTGCCGGTCGCATCAATGGAAAAATTGCCAAGATTCTTGTCGATACTGGGGCAACGGCCTCACTTATTGACGAGAAATGGGTGGACCAATATGGTGTTCTTATTGAGGGACCATCCTGCCCAATTCGATTGGGCGATGATCGCGTTATCCCAAGTCAGGGATATGCAACAATCAACCTAGAGGTGTCAGAGTACCACGAAACTATTCGGGTATTTGCCTTACCTTTGCTAGCAGGGGTAGACCTTGTCCTAGGAATGGATTGGTTGCGGCCCAATGAAGTTATCTTGAACTTTCAGGACAACACTCTATCGTTCATGAACGGTGACGAGAAAGTGGAATGGAAGGTTCCTGCACCTGATACAAGAAGTGAGGGTCCAGACGCAAACGTCTCTGATGTGAGCTTTGCGTTAGCCAACCAATTCAAAGGATATGTGAAAGAGGCAGATACTCTGTTCATTATCCAAATTGATCACGATGATGCTCTTTCGCAAGTCATTGAGGATTTTCCTCCTCAAATGAAAGCGTTGGCGGAAGAGTACAATGAGGTATTTGAGCCTATCCCTGAAGGCCTACCTCCAGATCGCGCAGTCGGACACACTATTCCAGTGGAACCAGGGAAGGCTCCACCATTTAGACCTCTGTATCGCCTCAGTCCAGCTGAGTACGAAGAGACTAAACTGCAAATCAAGGATTACCTCGATAAGGGATGGATTGAACCGAGCGCATCTCCCTATGGTGCTCCAATCTTGTTCGTTCATAAGAAAGGAGGTGGCCTACGCATGTGCGTTGATTACCGAGCCTTGAACAAGATTACGATCAAGAATAGATATCCGCTTCCTCGGATTGAAGATCTATTTAATCGTTTGCAAGGGGCACAATGGTTTAGCGCACTGGACCTTGCTCAAGGTTACCACCAGTTGTGTATAACAGACGAAGACGTGCCGAAAACGGCCTTTCGGACACCTTTTGGCCATTTTCAATGGCGTGTGCTAAGCTTTGGATTGACCAATGCTCCTGCATCCTTTCAGCGAGCAATGAATGACGTGTTCCGTGAGGCACTCGGTGAATTCGTGCTGGTATACCTTGATGATATCCTGGTATACTAAAAAACCGAAGCTGAGCATACTCAACACCTAAAATGGGTGTTGGGGAAGCTCCGAGAGCACAAGTATTTTGCACGGCTTTGGAAATGCCATTTCTATAAGCGCGAGCTCGAGTACCTTGGTCACATTGTTGGCAACAATGGACTCAAGGTTGATCCCAAGAAGGTGACTGCGGTCCAGGAGTGGCCTGTTCCTCAAGACGTGGGACAGGTCCGGTCATTCCTTGGACTTGCGAATTATTTCCGTCGCTTCTTGGAAAACTACTCCACTATCGTCGCGCCACTCACAGCACTAACTCGCAAAGGTTGGGCATGGGAGTGGACCTCCGAGTGCCAACAGGCCTTTGAGGAGGTTAAACGACGATTGACGAGCGCTCCTGTACTGGTCCTGCCAGACCCAGGCAAGCCGTACGAAGTGGTCACCGATGCTTCGACGGTGGGTGTTGGAGCAGTGCTCTTACAAGAAGGACGCCCTGTGGCATTTGAGAGTCGAAAGCTCTCCCCGGCGGAGCAGCGCTATTCCACAACTGAGCAAGAACTGCTTGCTGTGGTCCACGCGCTTCGAACATGGCGATGCTACCTAGAAGGTGTGGACTTTGTGGTTACAACGGACCACTGTCCCAACACCTATTTCTCTACGCAAGCCACACTCACTCGACGCCAAGCTCGTTGGGCTGAACTCCTCAGCGGGTTCACCTTCGAGATTCGTTATCGTGCAGGTGCCACGAATCTAGCTGACCCCCTCAGCAGACAGCCGATTGGGGAAGCAACGGGGCTAAGTGACACGGAACATGCGACCGTTTTCGCGGCCTGTTTCAATGTCCTCGCCGTGGCGAAAGTGAGCGAGATTACCTTCAGTGGTTTTCTGAAACGAATCCGCGCAGGTTATCATATCGATTCTTGGTTTCATAACCCACAGAACATGAAGGCTCTCGTTTGGGAGCATGAGCTCTGGTGGCATGGCAAAGAGATCGTGGTACCACACGTTGGCGGTCTACGGAATGACATTTTGACCGAAGTGCATACCACTCGTTACAGCGGTCACCTGGGAATAAACAAAACCCGGTGGATACTGCGTGAGGTATACTGGTGGCCAGGGGTGGGCAAAGATGTCCAGCAGTTTGTCGCACGTTGCGATGCGTGCGCAAGAAACAAACCGGACACACAAAAGCCTGGCGGTCTGCTTTAACCGCTCGAAATCCCCGACGAGCCTTGGGAAAGCGTGTCATTGGATTTCATCACTGACCTTCCCAAGACACGAGAGGGTCACACGGTGATCTTGGTATTCGTGGATCGTCTGACCAAGATGGTGCACTTCGTGCCCACAACAACGGAAGTATCGGCAGAGGATACGGCTAGGTTGTTTGTGTCGCACATTTTCCGCTTGCACGGACTACCTCGTGTGTTAGTATCCGATCGAGATCCCCGCTTCACAAGCCAGTTCTGGCAGGAGGTGACTCGGACACTCGGGACGAAGCTCAAGATGTCGTCTGCCTTCCATCCACAGACGGATGGACAAACAGAACGGACAAATCGCACCCTTGAGCAAATGCTTCGTTCATTTATAAGCCCAATGCAGGATGACTGGGATGAGTTACTGCCCTTGGTTGAGTTCGCAGTCAACAACTCAGTGCATGATAGCACGCGAGAGAAACCATTCATCCTGAACTGTGGTCGACATCCCACAACACCTGCAACACATGGGATCGGTGGGTTGAAGATACATGCCGCCAAGGACTTTGTTGCTCGGCAACAAGAAGCTTTGAAGTCGGCTCGTCGCTGGCTCGAGCTTGCCCAGCAACAGCAAAAGTCCTATGCTGACATGAAACGCCGGGAGATCTCCTATGAGGTGGGAGACAAAGTGCTCTTAAGTACGAAAAACATTGGTCTTAAGATCCCTGGTGCACGAAAGCTGTTCCCTCGTTGGATTGGGCCTTTCGAGGTGATCACGCGTGTTGGTGCTGTCGCTTACAAACTTAAGCTGCCTGATACATTGCGGATTCACAATGTCTTCCACGTGTCTCTGCTTAGCAAGTACATTGCAGAAGGCAAGTATTTGCCACCACCAACAATCGTCCTAGGGGAGGAACTCTATTATGAGGTCGAACGGGTGCTCATGCATCGCGATCGACAGCGCGGCCGCAAGACAATACGCGAGTTCCTTATTAAGTGGAAAGGCTACGGGCCTGAACACAATTCATGGGAGCCAGAAGAGCACTTGACTGAAACAGCTGTTCAGTCTTATCTGGAAGGCCTGGCTCAGTGCGAGGTCCTACAACCAGTGGATGGTGTTGACCCTGGTCGTAGCGTGACCCGTCGTGCTCGTTCCATTCGTCCCCAGAAGCACTCCATGGCAACGAGGACGTTGCCAGCTGGAGGGGGAGGAGTGTAACATATCGCCATACGAACCGTCCCTCCTAGTCTAACTATCGCGACTAATCTGGACGTTCCTAGTTTCCCCTTGCGCGCGAAGTTGCGGGAACATATTGGGAATGTTGGGTTGGGTTGGATAGGGTTGGGATTGAAGGTTGGGAAGATAGGTTTGGATGATAGGGCTGGAGTGGTGGTTACCACTCCATCACCAAGTGACAGGTTGGATTTGGGTTGGGCAGCAATTGTTCCTATTGGCTGCAATTCCAACCAATGCACATTTAGCAACCCAAGATAAGTTTGCACACCTCAGCAAACTGATTCCAGCTCACTACAAATTCCTTGGTTGGGAGAACCCAACCCATGCCACATGGGCAAGGCCCACAATTGGTGCACCACCCCCTTGGCCATGGAGGAGGTGGTTGCACCCCAAGGGGTCTAGGAAGTGGGAGGGCTCTTGGAGCTCATTCTTCACTTTCCTTCCCCAATAATCCAATATTGGAAGAAGGATCCTCCTCCTCTCTAAGTCCTCCAACTGCTATCTCTACCACAAAGGACTTAGCCAAATCTTGGCTATTTTGTGGTCATCTCCAAGTTCTCTTTGAGGTTCCAGCCTACTCCTAGTTCTAATTTAGGAGTGCTATTTTGTTGTATTTCCGCCATTTATAAACCGGTGTTGTTATAAACCGGTGGATGTTATAGAGTGGGCACTTGCGACGACGTCAATGGCAATCATCACGCGCCACGATTCTGTTAGCGTCGGCTATCCTCTATCGACTGTTGTAGCGAACTCCAGGGAGGCTCCGATCCGTCTGTCATGCGTGGTGCCTCAATTTCCGCCACCCCTTGGTACGACTCATACTAACGACTCACCGCCTTTATTCAACGTTTTCGACGTCTAAATCGGTTCTCTCACCTTTCCGTTCGCTCTCATTGCACGACCTGGTACGCTGCTTCACCTACTTTTATTCCTCCTTCTCAACTTTCGCCTGCTTGCAGCTTTCGGCACGACCTGCGATGGCTGCTCGGCCATCACGTTCGTCGCAACCGTCGCGTGCGCGTAGTCAGATACCTCCAAGAGGAGTGCTCCGCCGCTTTCGATCATCATGCCATCGAGGATCGTTGAGCTGCCAACAATCCTCTCGAGCATTGCTACGGTGATTGGTAGGGAAAGGCTTCTGGGGGGCGAGTACACATCCCCTGTATAGCGCCTCTCGAACCGTAACCCACTCCATATCTTGCTTCTGTGTCCGTTGGCGTGTGCATGTGACCATCGGCGGCTGAACGCGTCCGTGCGTGGCTGTATATGGCCGCCGCCTCTTCGGAACCGCGGAGCCGTCGATCCCTTCGCACGCCTTATTGAACAAGACTCAGAGACCTCGCCTAGAAGACTCTAGAGGAGTTGCTTCGGTAAGTGGCGGGTTCAAGCTAGAGAGAGGGTGAGTAGGCGCCTGCCGCAGAGCGTCTGTGGTCTGTTTTGCTCCGAGTCAGCTCTATCCTTGCTGTGACTAAGGGCGCGTCACAAATTTGTAAACATACGGTATTCTGAACCCATGTTTGACAAAATGTTTCGCAGAACTTCGCGGTGACCATGCTAACCTATACCTAAATGAGCATGGGGAGATTTGGGCCGTGATCTGTAGGCATCTGTTTGATAAGATATCTTATCAAAACAGAAGATGCCCGAGCTGTTTCTGAGGTTGCCGAGCTTGCAAAATTGCTGATTTCAGTTGCGAAAGAGCTAGGGATTTGATTGTGGCGTTTCGCCCAGGGCATGGTAAACATTCGACGTGTCCAAGCTTGCCAGAGGGCGCATCGAAAAGAATGATTTCAAAATTTCCAACCAATCACAATCGTCTGGGTGAACTGTTTTTCGTTTATTGCTACAATCTGGGTATTTTTATCCAAGCTATCTCCTTTTCTCGGGGCGTCTATGGTCTGCCCAAAACAAGCTGTTCAATGCTCGTCCAACCTTTGGAGGTCGGTTGAAGATTAAACTAGCTATTCAGCCAATTTGCCCGTGAAGGCTATTTACTTGAAGTTTCATGTGTGACAACTTGTCCGAATTTAGGCGGCTATCTGCAGGCAATCGACGAACAAGATATCAAATTTGTTTGGTTTTCTTAGAACCGTGGGTCCTTATCACCGAGCCTCGATAAGGACTCAACCACTTATCAGCAAAGCTTCTAAATCATGAATTACTTGTCATGGGTGGCTGCAGAACAGGGCCTTGGTATTTTGGGGGTGTCGCATCTTCTCGGGTGGCAATTTCTGGGTTGTCACGATGGTTTGACGAGCGTCGGAATACTAGTTAATTTCACAAACATCTGGTGTTCGCTTCATGTTCACAAAAACATGACACGCCCTAATGTGCATTATTTGTCGTGCTTGTGTTTGTTTCTGTGTGCTACTGCCTGGTGGTTTTGTGTTGAGCCATCAATCGTCAAACTGGGGCCAACTTCGATTTCCCTCACATTATGCCAGGAGCATTATTCAGGTTGGCTCACTTTTGTAGTCTAGCCTAGAGTACAGCATACGTTTGTCGCGCACTGTTGTGGCAGTTAGAACCCCTCGGGGTTACAAACGAAGCTCGTCAGAGTCGCACAACTTTTGAGGGTGCCGGGAATTCAGTTGCACAAGTATTTTGCATTCCCTCGCCACGGGCAAATGAGGCGGTCGCACGAGCACATAGCAAAAAGGGTGGGTATTTGTGGGGGGGGCTTGGGTGGCGATGTTTGTTGCCAGTGTGCAACTCTTGTGAGGCGATCAGGCGATTGCGGTGCACAGTTCCATGGCGACGAAACCACGTTGGCAATGACTTGTCCAATGCTTTATGTTGGTCGCAAACTCAATCATGACCCGTTGCAGAGTGACTCAAACGGATCTCCCATTGCGCGTCTATCGGGGGTTTTGGGAAACGGTTCTGATTGGGCGCTAGGTTGAGCAGCAATAAGGCTGGGCATCGTTTGTACATCCCGCCCTTGACGCACGTTGCTGCATGTTCGTGCCAAATTGTGTTAGCAACTGATTTGGCAGGAGGGGTGGACTGGATTCAATTCGTCCCGCGTACAGTACCCCTCCCAAAATAATTTCCGCAGACTTCATATTAGATTTTCTATATGTCGTCAGATCCAGGTTCCATACCAAAGCCACCCATTGAAGTCCGCTTCCAGCCAAAATCCGCCAAAGCCTACAATTTCAACATGTTTCCAAGCCGAAAATTACGAACGGAGTTCCGTTTCAACCCGTTTCAGCATGTTTCCCTTTTACAAACGGGTTCGGAGAAAACCGAAACCGTTAAAGGGAGTTCCGGGTCGTAACAGCCCGTGAAAATATAAAACAATCGAAAACATTTCCCATAAACATTATGCCCTTGGTTCCACCCGCCCCTCGCTGAAATGAATCCAGGCCACCTCTCCAGCCGAATCTGTTGCCGACGCAAATTGGCACGAACATGCGGCAATGTGCGTCAAGGGCATGCTGTAACCCTGAGGGGTTATAACTGTCAAAACAGTGCTCGACAAACTTTTGCTGTACTCTAGGCAAGATCACAAACTTGAATAGGGCTCCTGGCATAATGTGAGGGAAATCGAAGTTGGCCTTCAAATCTGCCCTAGACTGAACTCCCGGCCGTGTGTGCGACGTGGAGTTGGTGGGCTGTGCGACATCGTACGATGTGCCATCTGGTTGTGCCTGCGACGGATAGGCGATGAAATTGCAACTCCGACACCAGTGGAGAGCGGCAAAGAAGATTTTTGGCAACAATTGCCCAAGGTTGGTTCCGATACGTGCTAATTACTTTTGCCAATCTGTTTTTGCCGAACCAAATTCTTCGCTCAAAGCTATCCTCATTTTGTCGCTACAGTACCAATTTCTCCATATTGCACCTTTCCAATCTATATCCCTTTCATGGTGTCCTGAGCCTCGTTATTGTCACACCCTAAAGCGTCCCCCCTCGTTATTGCAGTTTTTCCTTAGTTCAGATACCGGCACCGTGCTCCCCTACCGTAACGCGGTCCATCGCATCGCGAACGCTCATGTATGGCGAGATGGTCTTGTCAATCGCGTCTGCTCGTCGTCGCACACTAGGATGGTCCTCCGCGCATTGTCACTCCGGGATGGTCGTCGCGCATCGTCGCACGGCGAGATGGTCGTCCGGGGATCGTCGCATGGCTGGATGTTCGTCTGCAGGCAGCATTGCGCCTGCCGGGTGAGAGCATGCCACCAGATGTAGGGATAACAATGAAACGGTGCTGCGTTGCCAAGCTAGGGATGTCTAGCCAAGCCAGGCCCAGCTGCGCCGTAGGGCAGAGGTGAGCAGCGGAAGAGAGGAGAGGAAGTTTATTTGATTAGGCTGCAGACTAGTTCCAAGAAGAGACGAAAGATGATCAAGAAGATAGAAATGATACATACAAGGTAAGGAGAGAGATATTTATATTAGGAAGGAAAGGGTAGCAACTAGGAAAGGGTAGCAACTCGGGAGCATAGTCACGTGTCCATCAAGCATAGCATCTTGGCATAGCACCTCAATGCTATGCTCTGCTGGACATCTCCTTTCAGCATAGATAGAAGGATATACTCTAGGGTAGCAAGTGTCTAGTTCAGATAGCTCAAGGCATTTTTGTCTAAGAATCTAATGCATGCCTAGCTATCCCTTTCAGGAATTCCCATGCATGCCTACAGAGATCCGTTTTAGATGAGAAACCTCGCTAAGTTTGTAATACCAGAAGGACGTGTACATCCATTCTGAAATATCAGAAGAATACAAAATCACTTTCTAAGGCATAACTTTTCAGTAATTGGGTTTCTAAAAAATCAGATGAACTCTCAGAGTAATGAATTGAGTATGATTAGGGGATAAGAGGGGATATAACTTAAGGTGTTGTCCTTTCTATGAGCATGCACCTATCTAGCCTATACCATATACAATTATATCCTGACACACCCCCTAGGCTAGACAAGGGGCAATGACTAGCAAAAGACACGCAGCTCAGGGTAGCACTACTAGTCCAACCTCAGAGGCAAGGGTCCGAAGACCAGTTAGGAAGAGTACAAACAAAACAAGAGCAACTCAGGGTGGCACTACTAGTCCAGCCGTTGGAACAAGGGCCAGTCAAGATAATATATGGAGTACTACACAATCAAGGTCCTAGCAAGTGAGAATCTACAGGAACGAGACCAAGCTATACACAGTGCCGCTGATGATCTTTAGGCGCAAGTGCCTTCGTAAAGATATCATCTGTGTTGGCACCGGAGGCCAAGTGTACTACGCGGGCCTGGCGGCACTGCTGTAGCTCACACAGGAGGAAGTACCACAGCTGGACGTGCTTCACTCTGCCCTCTAGTCGAGGCTCCTGACACAGGGGGATCATGGCCCTGTTGTCAGCGTACAGCACCAGGGCAGAGCTAGTTTGCTCACCTAAGGTTATGAGCAAGAAGGTCAGCCAGTGGAGCTCCTATGCCGCCATGGCACCGGTGTAGATCTCAGCCTCACAGCTAGACTAGGCAATAGACGACGAGCGAGTGGACCTCCACAAGATGGCACCTGCACCAAGGCTAAAGCAGTAGCTCTGAGAGGACCTAAGCGTCTCAGCCTCGTCTGTCCACAAAGCATCGGTGTGCCTTGTAAGGACCACTGGCCTGTGTCCTCCC